AAGCTGTAGTGGTGTTTGCCCTCCCCAGAAAAGATGCTGCTGCTAAAAAGTGTGTGTTCAAAGAATTATGACATCCCCAGAGGGAAGGAATGGTACACTGGGTGCTATTAAGAGTCTGCTCACTGATTTGTGGCAGTTGCTTTGCGCACAACATTTCTGCTCCTTCAGGCATTGCTCGGTGGTAAACTGTATCCGAGCCCAGTAAATGCTGACTTCTTAATGGTGCACACTGTAAACAGCATTAATGGGTTTAATGGATAGAAGCACTCATCTCCTCACCCACTGGGGCTCAGAAACAGCCAGTGACCCTGCCCAGCCTTTCTGCTGTGCTAAAAGGTCCAGCAGCTGCAGTGACTCCCCCACCCTCCTGCATCCAGTGGGTGAAGTGTCAGCGTGCAGCCCTGTGCCTGGGGAACCTTCGCGCTCTGGAAGGTCAGAGAAAGAAATGCCCCTGGCATTGAAGCATGCAGAGGCCCTGCAAGATTGTAGGTTGTTTGATTTGCTCCAGCTTACCCTTGTGTGAGAGCTTTAAGCTGGCATTGGGAAGTAAATGCTGGCCCTGGAGAGAGAAGGGAGGGGGAGAGAGAATCCACCCTGCATCCTCACAGGGCATTTTCTCTTTAATTTGCACACAGTGTTGAAAAGAGCCGCAATAAAGAAGAGCAAAAACGACCTGATTCATGCAGAAGAAGGTGAGGACCATTTCACAGACATTTGCTCCGTTGGTGAGTACTGGCTTGGCATTCCCTGAGGTTTAGATCTCCACCTAAACGTGTTCATGTCATGTTTCCTTCGAGCGGCTCCTTTGCTCCAGAAGCTGCAGTTGGAAGAAGGAGAATTATCCCTGCTCCTGCAGCAGCACTCAACTTCCCAAAGCAAATGGCTTCGTGGCTTCACCCTCTCCCCTGCACTGCCTGGCTCAGCTCTTGCATGCTGCACCCTTTAAAGAGCCCTCCAAGGTGCTGGGAGAATCCCTGCTGGGTTGGCTGTCCTGGGATTCTGCTTGGATTCTGCTTGGAACATGCTCATTCATGCTAACGAAACCCAAATCTCTCCAATGCCACTGCTAAGCCTCGTTGTTGGAGGGAGGAGAGGAAGTGGACACAGTCCCACCTGCCACCAGTGCACAGTGTGTGGTTTTGCAGCCTTTGCCCTGTGAATGGCTGCTGGAAATGCAGGGCAGAGCCCCTAATTCTCTCATTCTTGCCTTAGAAGAAGATCTGAAAGCAATTCTCTACATTTTTAAAGCCAGCCATGGAGATAAACACCTGTGTGCACCCAACTCCCCACACTCCTCCCATGCAGAGTGGGAGCATCCTGCACTATGGGACACTGATGGTGCTAATCTTCAGCTCTGGAGACCAGGACACTGTCAGGCTATGGAGGTGCTGCTTGTTGTGCAGTTAGCAGAGCCAGTTGCCTCCTGAGACACAGCCAGGTGGAGAGGCAGGAGGCAGGGCTGGGGTTGGCAGGGGGAGGCAAGCTCTGAGCACACAGCATGTGCCTCAGGGAGCTGTTTGGCCATCAGCAGAAAGCCCTCTCAGCCGTGGGCTGTTACTGGCTGGGGACACATCTTCCCAACTGCTTTGCAGTTAGCTGCTTTGCTTATTCCTGTCCCTGTTGTTTGAGTCTGTGTATCATTTTGCTGCTGAAGCAGCAGATGTTCTCATTATCTTCCAAAGAAATATCTTGGCAGCCCAGTTGCCACGAAGCAGCAGATCTTGGATGCACCACAGTAGCAGCACAAAACAGCACATTTGAGGGTCTGTGTCCAGAGGTGCTTGCAAGCATGAGAGCCTCAAACACTCTTTGGAAATTGGGCATTAAGGTTTTAAGAGATTACAGCTGCTGTTGGATTTCTGTTCCCCTTTAAATGAAGACTTGGTTGCAGGAAATGAATGTTGCTCAGCATGTTCCTGACACCCTCACCCACTGTTGAATTGCCACAGTCCCCCAGGCTGCAGGTTTTGTGGCTAAATGCTGACACTTCTCTGGAAGGTTTGTGGCTGAAAGGGCAAAAATGCAACAACCAAGTGCATTTTTGGGTTGGTTTTGACTCTGAGCAGCTCAGATCCCTGCATGGATAACAACGAATGGTCATTTCTGGAAACATTTGTTGATGGTTGCAATAATTATGAGATCTTTGCATTGCCATCCAAGTCCCTCCAGGCTCTGGGCACCCCATGCCACACAAACAGATCTTGGAATTCAGCATTTCAGGTGGCAACGGCTGACGGAGCATCTGGGCTCGGGAATAATCTGATGCAGAGCTGGGAACTGTCTCGGGAGCATATGGCAGGGAAAATAACAGCAGTGCTTTCCACCTTCTGTGAGTGCTTCACCCACTTGGGAGAAGTGTTTTTGATTTTGATTCATGGAATGAGGCAGAGAAGAAGGAATGGATAAAGCAGCTACTTTGCAGGCTCTGGAGAGGCTGAAATGCTGCAGAACATAAACAATCAGATCATATGGGCAATTATGCAGAAAGAATCTGGTTTTGAGAAAAGGCTTTTTGGATGGGTTTCTATAATGTCTTTTGATGGAGCATAAGGAGTGTGGAATAACTAACAATAGAATTCCTGAGTGCCACGTGAAGATGTAGACCAGAGTGGGAGAGACTTTGACAGGTCTCTCTAGCCGTTGGCTGAATACTTTGCTCTTCAATTCAAGCACAAGTACCTCAATGAGCCTTATAATTGCATTCTAAAGCTCTGTAGTGATAAACACTTCTCAGTGTGTTCTCTGGAACTGTTCTTAGCATTGATTCTTTCCCCCTAACTCAGCCTCTTTGTGCACTAAGTTTTGCAGCCTCTATGCAGGACCAGACATAGGACACTCTCTTGGTTCCCAGACAGCAAAGCCTGGAGAAATGAATGTTTTCCATGTCAGATCAGTTTAAACACTGCTGTTTTTCTCTTCTGAAAGATCAGTAGAGAGGAGATGAAAGGGCAGAAGACTGTTCCCAGGCAAATCTGGGAGTATAGAGTGGCTTGGCCATCTGAGAGTTCTTTACCTGCTAATCAGTGTTACAGTACGGTGCAGCCTAAATCTTTACCTGTAGCTCGTTTTGTGGAGGAGAACAATGATTTTTGATTCTTTAAAACTGCCACAGGCAACATTATCAAGCTAACAGAACAGCACACTGGGCTTTCTGCAAGGAGCTGGTTGAAAGCCTGGCCGAGGCCAGCTGTGCATTTGGTGTGTTGGTGGATGGCCAGAAATGGGAACTGGAGCACAGAGCTCACTTTCCACTGGGGAGACAACACACTGTAGTGGAGCTGTGAGGCTTGGAGAACCCATTGCTGTCACATCTGGCTGCTTCATCCTTTCTTTGAGTGCTGTGTTTGATCTTATTGCAGGATGAAACAGGGTGAGATTCCCACCCCTTCCAAGTGTTGAAATGTAGGTGATCACACCCAAAATTTTGGCTGCTGCAGCCAGAACACTTGGTTTATGTAGCTCAGCCATCTCCAGCCACAGCCCATGCAAGTCATCTGCTCCCAGTGCTTGGTCCAAGACAGGACAATGTGTGTGCTGGTCAGCCCTACCTGCTGGGATGCTCCATCCCACGACAGGGAAGGGCATTAGTGTGTTATCTTGCCACAAACCATCTTGAAACAAGGTCCTGAGTGATGCCAGCACAGTGTGACACAGGGAGTGTAGAGTCAGTGACAATCACCATTCTCCCTGCTTGCAACAGTCTCTGTGGCTGCAGAGGAACCCCAATGGGTCCATGTGTTTATTCCTGACGTGTGCTGATTTCTCCTGCCTCAGCACTGCCCAGAGATTGACTTTTCATCCTTCCTTCTACCAGTGCCTCTACCACAGGGAGAGATCTTACATCAGAAATCATTTCTTCCATCAGTTTCCTATTGTTAAAGCACTTGACTCTTTTCCAGGGTTTCAGAGCAGAGTGGAAACGGAGCTGATATAGGCAGAATTGATACAAATGAGTAGCTGTGCCCAAAATGTGCTGCAGGGAGGCACTGAGCCCTCTGCTGAGAAGATCCATGAAGCTAGAGAGTAAAATAAGGAGATTTCACTCAATTCAGTGACAAGGGCTGGTCCTTGGAACAGGGGAAATAGGGACCAGCTTTCCTGTTGCCAGCTGTCCAGCTCCAAGAGGATGTGCTCCACACCATGGGCAGAAATACCACTGTGCCTGGTGCTTTCTGTCCCTTCAGTCAACCAGGAAGACAAAAGTGATGAGTTCAACTGGGACAATCAAGGATCCTTCAAGCTCTGGAAGCCCAGTTGCCCAGTGGAGCTGGGCATTAATTCATGAAGTTTTCAAATCCCAGCCTTCATCCCTCATGATGTCATTACAAGCCAGATGGCCTTGCTCAGCCCATGGTCAATGTGCCCAGCTTTCTGCTCAGCTGTATTTCTGGTGCTTGGGAGAGGCTCTGTGTGCCCAGGAACCTCCTCCAGCCTTTTGCCTGGAGGGATGTGGTGTGGTGACTCTTCTTTCTGTCCCAGGGTCTCCTTTTGCCCGTGCCAGTTTGAAGAGTGGGAAGAATGAGAGCTCATCCTACTTCAGGAGGAAAGAGAAGATGTTTCGGTTCTTCATCCGGCGTATGGTGAAAGCTCAGAGCTTCTACTGGATTGTCCTGTGTGTGGTGGCCCTCAACACCCTCTGCGTCGCCATGGTGCACTACGACCAGCCAGAGAAGCTCACCACGGCACTCTGTGAGTATCAGGGACTCCCCCTGTCCTCTAAAAAGGTCATTTTTGCTCACCCAGCACCGCTGTCACATCACCATGATGTTTGGGTTTTGGTTGCCCAAGTGTCCCTTAAAGCCAATCCAGAGATGTGTTATCAGTGGCTCTAGTAATTCAAGAGTGAGAGAATGGTTGGGAGTTGGAAAGGACATTAAAGCTCATCTCATTCCACCCCCTGCCATAGGCAGGGGAACCCTCCC